TTATGTGCATCTAAACTAGTTTTGCCTTTTCATTTCTTTAGCTTTAGCTAGTATAACTGGGACGAACACTCAAAAAAACTGTCAAATTGAAGTTCAACCATTCTCATGTATCTGAGATATGGCCAATAGTACTTAAAGTAATAGGCATGTGGAATTCGGACACATCGAAAAAGACAAATTAAAACGATACAAGTGGTAGTAATGAATGGAATCGAACTAACGTAAGATTAATCATTTTAAATCGTGCTGTGTAACGTATTTTCAGACATTAGATTATAGTTAAAGTAAACTTGAACCGTTTAAAAACTTTTACCTGATAAAAACAACTCAATTTTCAGTTGTTCAGCTTGATTTGTTTGTAACTAAACAATTGAAAAAACATGATTAAAGAAAATAATTTGTCGTACCATTTTGAGTGTTGTTCATTTGATCAGTGAGTGAGGCCTCACATTTCAATGCAATACTCCAATTGCATGCTTTAATTTGTGTCGAATGTATTTGACATAAATGATGGTGAATTTGAGCACTCAAATGCCGCAATGAGAACCGTGCATGTTTGAAAGTGGCTTTGACAAAGGAACTCAGCAAAAAGCAAGGGCTTTGACAAACAAGGGAAGTTATAGGCTGTCAAAGCTCACATATACCTAATTTAAAAACATTGGCGTTAAAGGGCCTTTTTGTAAAGAAATAAATACGAATTGGCATGTGCCAAACTCAAGATCATAACACCGCATGTGTCCCAAGACCAAAACAAGATTTGCAAAATCCCTTGGATCTTTTGTTTTTTGTGAAAACAAGGCAAACATTAAGATTTGAGGCAAAATGACATTTACCGCCAAGGAGGGATCCAATAATTTTATTTTGTGATCAAATTTATAGTTGCTTGATTATGGAAAAGCAGTATTTTATTTTTTTAATTAGCCCTTTTTTTTTTTTTTTTTTTTTTCTCTCTAAATGTTTATACTCCGGACTCGCACAGAAGATCTCTCAAGTATAAAGAGGTAGCAAATTTAACATTTTCCTTTATTTGTGCCTTGTTTGAACAGCTTCTTTTTAGACCATAAGAATTGTAAACGTAATACCTTTCAAGAGAGTGTTTGAAACCTATATCTTTATTTCTCGACAAATATCTCTTACATTCGTATCTTTGTCCTTTCAAGAGAGTGTCAGCAAAAACCAACGGAACGGTACATTTTGAAGTTCGAAGTTGCATTAGTGATATAATCCAGGGGTCATTTTCAAGAATAATTCTTCTTTTAACAAAAAGTTGGATTTTCTCTTGAGAAAATTAAACATTTATGAAAGCAACTTCTTGACTTAAAATTTTAAAGAAATATATTAGTAAGTAAATAAGTAATACTTATGCTAAATACCTCACTTAAATATTTTGGAAAACTTTGTACAGTGAAGTATGAAAAAAGAAAAACCTTTTAGGGGGAGAGTCCCGTTCATTTCACTGATTCGAATTTAGAATTTGAGTTTTGTTACAGTAAAAAGCTCTCAGAAACAGTCACATTTAACTTTTTTGCTACAGTAAAAAGCTTTCATATAAAGTCACATCCCAACTCAAATTAAAAACTCGAATAAGCGAATTAAACAGACTCATATGTTAGATCTCCATCAGCTACCATTAAATTATCATACTCAATAATATAACTTGAAATGATTATCATTTGATTTAACAGTTAAAAATTATACTGGAATTTGATTTAACAATTAAATATTGTCCTACAAATATGATATTTCCTTTTCTTTTTTATTTTAATACCATTCACTTTGAGATTTCAAAAAATCATACCTTGTATTTTGTGCCGTCATATATATATATATATATATAATGGATAGTTTTATTCATACCTTTTTTTTACCTTTCACATCCCATTTTAAATACGCACCTCACATAATTTTAAAAGAACTAAATTTATTTTTTACACACCCCTATTATTTTAAGGTTATCTTTAACAACTATTTTTATAAAATAATTATCTTGTCTACTTCAATTTTCTTTTCACTCCCACTATTTTTATTTTAGTTTGTTATTTAAATAGTATTATTTCTCTATCTCTTCATTTTTTTTTTGTTTTTTTTTCTTTTTTTGTTGAAATTTTAGGTGTTAAGCCTTTTTTCAAAACAAAAAAAAAATCAAATAGAAGATGAAACGTGAAAAAAATCAATCCAACTTTATAAAAAAAAGAAAGAAATAGCAAACAAAATAAAATGATTAGACTTTACAAAAAAAAAAAATCAGTAAAAAATATAAACATAATATGAAAAAAAGACAAAATAAAATTGGTCATACAATTCCAATGGCATAGCAAATTTAACATTTTATGAATGCAACTTTTGGAATAGTCATTGAAAGGTGAAAATTAGCATTTTTTATAAATTTTAAAATAACAATAGTTTATAAATTAGGATATAATATGTGGGGTGTGGGGAGAGAGATAAAAACTATATAATTAGTTTCTCTTTTGAACTAAATTTACTTACATAATTAAATATGTCATAATTGTCCTTTTTTGTTGTAAGGGTCTTTTTGTCATAAGAAAATTTAATGTAAAGGAGGGGTGTGGAGAATAAAAAGGGATGTGTGAATAGAACCACCCATATATAATATATCTTAAGATTCCTTTCAAAAAAAATTAAGATTGCTAATTTATACTCAATTTATACCTTTCTGATTAACATGAGATTTTGACATGGAAGTCTTCGAAATAACCTTAGTATTTAGTAACTAACATCTATTTATGTGACCAAAAAGAGTTATTGATTTTTGAGCTTTTCAGAAAAAGTTAAAAAAGAAGAAAAAAATGGTGAAAAACTAGAAGTAACTTTTTAGAGCACAGATTTTTAGTATTCGACATGTTTGGTTACAAAATAAACATTAGCTCGGGTATTAATGTAAAAGGCAATATGGGCAATAAAAAGTTCTTTTCTCTTTTAATCAAAATCTGTTGTTGATAAAGTAAAGTCATAAATTGAGCACATAACTGAGGTATAAACTGCTCCATAATAATGGGTATACTTTTTGATAAATCTCAAAATGCAGGGACTAAAAAGGAAAAAAAAAGACTCTTTGTTTGAAATTGCAATGGATATATATATATACTTAAGATGGTTTCGTAGTCAAGAATTCTCGTTGGAAACTATCTTCATATCATATCGTACCTATTTACCCTATCAAGAGCTAAAAAAATATCCTTGCAACATTATCGATACTAAAATAGCATCAAATTAAATGATAAATTCAACAACATTGCCCCTAACGTCTCATAAAATCTAACCAAATCTTTAAAACCGAATTCAAACTGGAAAAATGACAAATCAAAATATCATACTCCAATAATATGAAACAAAATTCCTAAAATTCAATACAAAAGTTGAAAAACAAACTAGAGTTTTCAAATCCAAACTCCAAAAATACGAAACTAAATTCCTAAAATTAAATACAAGAACTAAAAGAGAAAAAAAAAAAAAAAAAAAAAAACCCCCCAAACAAACTAGAGTCTTCAAACCGAAACATTAGAACACCAACAACATCATTCTTCTCTGTTTTTTTATTTAAAAAACATTAGTTTTAGGGTACTGTACTTTGCTTCTTTTTTTTGTTTTTTTTATTCCATATTACCTTCAACATTATATGTTATAATCTATAACAAATATTACAATTTATGCAACATATTATATACATATTATCAGGTCGGGTCGGGTCGAGAATCTAACCATACTGTGCCTCCATCCTCGACTCGAGAGGTAAGTACATATTCATATAGTATTCCCGTAAGTATCGATCATATTATATTCATTTTCGAGTAAGAATGTCATTTCATTTTTTTGTACCTTGAGAAACCAAGTTCTATCCTGAAAACTCTTTTATATATATATATATATATTTAAATTCTTTTCTTCTTCTTTCCTCAATCTTTGAGTCAAGTCATATAAGAGTTGGACTCAATATAAGATAAAACATAACATACTTATATTTTGTAAATTTTATATGTGCATATATATGGTATAGTATACATATATTAATGTCTCTTAAAGTAACTCCAACCATGTTAATCATTTCATGTTTTTAATTAAAATAGTTAATGATTTAGCTTTTTTTTTTTTTTAGCTTTTTTTCACTTCAAACATTAGCTAAATAGTTAACTATTTTGACTTAAGTATTTTTCACTAGCTAAATATAACTAGTAAAAAGTGGCTAACTATTTGTTCTTTTTATTATTTTATTTTTTGTTTTGACATAAAGTAAAAGTAAAAAAAAAAAATAGTTATTTATATTTTAAGCTTAAAAAATATTAAAATAACTTTATTTAATTTTAAAAGAATCTTTACATTTATTATCATTTTGAAACAATAAAATAATATAAAAAATCAAATGATTAATCATTTCTTGCTTGCTATATTTAGTCAGTGTGAAATAAATTTTTTAAAATAATTAACTATTTAGTTATTAATTAGAGTGAAAAAAAATTAAATTCTAATTAAATTATTAATTATTTTAATTAAAAACATAAAATAACTAATATAATTGAAATTGTTCAGAAAACTGATATATACCTTTGGATACGTCGAGAAACTGATTGGCTGCCAGTTGGAAAAAAAAAAAAAAAAAAAAAAAAAAAAAAAAAAAAAAAAAAAATTAAAGAAGCATTTAACTCGAGCTTTTCCATCTACTACAGCTGAATTCCAAAACCCAATCATGGGCCCCTATTATTATTAGATATATCCCTCCTGAGAAGGGCCCCACATTGGGGAACAGAACCAGAGAAACTGGATTTGCCACGTGGCCACATCAAACTTATGTCTCTCTTCTCCATCCCTTATTGTTTCCTTCACCAAAACTAATTGAAATAAACAAATAAATAATAATAATAATAACAATAATAATAATAATAATAATAATAAGAAACTAAAAGTGATTACCTTTGTATGAAATCCCACACTATATATAGCAGTCTCATAACAACATTATCCAAAAAACCAACTAAGCTTAAGAGAACTTGTAGCAGAATCCCAAAACCTTAAAAAAAAAAAAAAGTACTTTCTTCTTATCTCAATGGCTGAATTCGCAGCTGATTTTCAAAGCTTAATTAAACCCTTTCTAGATGTTGATCCAAACATGGAACTAATAACCCAATTTTCCGGGATCAGCCCAAGGATCAACCATGTCATGGACAATTCAAGCTTGCTGAATTTCCCTTTCTCAAGTGACCACAACATGTTTGGCAATCCAGCACCCCATTTTCCAGGAAACATGGCTGAAAATTTTCCGGGAAATTTCAACTCTAGCAATAACCAGCTTTATGTTAATGCACAGTCAACTAGTGCTCCAATAGGGAATAACAATGAATATTCCCATGAAAGCAAGAAGAGAAAGGCAGTGAAGAATTTGGATGTTGCATCAGAGAGCAGCTCAGGAATCTCTTCTGAAACTGGGACCGGGATTAAAAAGAAAAATGTAAGAACATTAGTATTTTGTAGTTATGCATATTTTGCTAGTTTTGTGAGACATATTTTTTATGTTTTTTTTTTATTGGTTGAATAATATTGCAGAGTTCAGGAAAAGGAAAAAGAGTGAAAAGCAATGACAAAGAAGATCAAGAGAAACCAAAAGAAGTAGTTCATGTTAGAGCTAGAAGAGGTCAAGCCACTGATAGTCACAGTCTAGCAGAAAGGGTAAATACTTTAATACATATATATGTGTATATGTATGCATATATATAAATACACATATAGGCATATGCATAATTATAAAATAGAAAAAAATAATCAACACCATTTTCAAAGAAGTTTATGGGATTGATACTGAATTTACTATTTATCAATCAGGTTAGAAGAGGAAAAATTAATGAGAGACTCAGATGCTTGCAAGACATTGTCCCGGGTTGCTACAAGGTAAAACAATTTTGATCAATATCTATTATTTATTCTTAATAGAATAACAAAATTATTTTCAAATTGTGTTTGGTTGTTAATATGAATGAAAATCTTGGTATTTCTATTTGATTTGAATTGCATTGATGAATTTGCAGACTATGGGTATGGCAGTAATGTTGGATGAGATAATTAATTATGTGCAATCCTTGCAAAATCAGGTCGAGGTTAGTAATTCTTCTTTCTTTCTTTTTTTATTTTTTTTCTCTCCCTTTTTTTTTTTTATGTTGAAAGAAATGAGAGTGTTCTAATTAATTAACAATAAGAAATTTATTATTTTTCTGTATGGATTCAGTTTCTTTCTATGAAGCTGACCGCTGCAAGTACTTATTATGACTTCAATTCAGAGACAGATGATATGGAGAAGATGCAGGTGCTTATTCTTTTTTTTTTTTTCATTTCATATGACTATAATTCATAAATTTGAAAATTTTATCTTTTGGATATGCTTTTGTCAATATCCACTTAATGCAAATTAGGTTAATAATATAATTAAAACAGAAGGTTTTACTAAAATAGTTACAACTTTTGTGAAAATTTTTAGAACGCCAAAAAAAAAAAAAAAAAACTATATTCCTACAATTTTTAAATCTTAAAACATTGCATAAGTTTTATTTTCAGAAAAAAAAATATATATGGCCAAAAAGTTTACCATTTGATAAAAAAAAATTTTGGATAAACTTTTGTTATTGCTTTGGCATAATTTGGTAGGAACATAAACATCAGATACTTACATAAATGCATAAATTTTATTATTGTAAGAAGTACTTGTGCTTTTCCATTAGTTTTACAAATAATTAAATTAATCAATTTGCAACTGTGGCTAAAAAGGTTTTTGTCTTTAAAGTAAAAGATAACTGCAGCCAATATATATTACATGTGGGTGTATGCATGTATAATTGATGAGTGATGTTTAAATAATGTTGCTTTTTATATACAGCAGAGAGCAAAAGCAAATGAGGCAAAAGAGATGGAAAGATTGATAAGAGAAGGATATGGAGGATTTGCTTGTTTCCACTCAAGTTGGCCCCTTTGACTTCACTTTTGGATGTTACCCCTTATTGCCATACAACAGATGAAGATGCTTCCATTCTCTAATATTTTTCAATCCCAAAATCAGAATTGTTTAATTACTACATCCACTCTTCAAGTTGCTATATATATATAGATATGTATATATGTATATATATATATATATATATCAAAATCAATGTTGTCTAGCACAAGTGGAATGATATTGTCATACTTGTACACTTTTCTTACACATCCATGTGAGGAAATTTAATGGACATCAATACATGGGATATAATCATATATATTCTTCTCGTTACGTAATTATAATTTTACTTTTTATATGTATTTGTATTTTCTTTGTACCGAAATTCAATTGATAATGTAAAGATTGTTATTGTTAGTAATAATATCGTGTGTGTATATATATATATATATATCCTTTCAAAAGACAATGAAACATAAAACATCGTGAATGGACTTTGAATTTGATGTTTTGCGTTTATGTTCATGATTGACAGACATGACCAATTAATACAAGACAACTAATATTGAAATGGAATTTTGACTTGTTGGGGATGGGAAAACGCTATATTAATTGGAAATTAACGTTGTAATGTATGGTTAAGGCCTGATTAGACTAGTTTAAAAGTATGCTAATTAAGTGGAATCTTGTTATATTTGGAGAAAAAAAATAAGCTTCCTCAAGCGGCAACTGCTTTCTCATCATGAGTTAACTCGCTAACAATAATTATGTCTTATTGATGAAAGCACAAACAGATGTGAAAATTTAGTTTGGACTTTATTGTGACGTACGTACTTGTATTAATATTCTTAATTAGTTAACCATGATATAAATTAACACAAGACAGTGAATATTGCATTGAATCGTTTGACAAATCTTGAGGTTGAAAACTTTGCATTGCGATTAGTTCCAAAATATGACAAGCTAGAGTATTAGTTTAAAAAATGGATTATATACACTAATATACATATACATATATATATATATATAAGTTTATGGGATTGATACTGAATTTACTATTTATCAATCAGGTTAGAAGAGGAAAAATTAATGAGAGACTCAGATGCTTGCAAGACATTGTCCCGGGTTGCTACAAGGTAAAACAATTTTGATCAATATCTATTATTTATTCTTAATAGAATAACAAAATTATTTTCAAATTGTGTTTGGTTGTTAATATGAATGAAAATCTTGGTATTTCTATTTGATTTGAATTGCATTGATGAATTTGCAGACTATGGGTATGGCAGTAATGTTGGATGAGATAATTAATTATGTGCAATCCTTGCAAAATCAGGTCGAGGTTAGTAATTCTTCTTTCTTTCTTTTTTTATTTTTTTTCTCTCCCTTTTTTTTTTTTATGTTGAAAGAAATGAGAGTGTTCTAATTAATTAACAATAAGAAATTTATTATTTTTCTGTATGGATTCAGTTTCTTTCTATGAAGCTGACCGCTGCAAGTACTTATTATGACTTCAATTCAGAGACAGATGATATGGAGAAGATGCAGGTGCTTATTCTTTTTTTTTTTTCATTTCATATGACTATAATTCATAAATTTGAAAATTTTATCTTTTGGATATGCTTTTGTCAATATCCACTTAATGCAAATTAGGTTAATAATATAATTAAAACAGAAGGTTTTACTAAAATAGTTACAACTTTTGTGAAAATTTTTAGAACGCCAAAAAAAAAAAAAAAAAACTATATTCCTACAATTTTTAAATCTTAAAACATTGCATAAGTTTTATTTTCAGAAAAAAAAATATATATGGCCAAAAAGTTTACCATTTGATAAAAAAAAATTTTGGATAAACTTTTGTTATTGCTTTGGCATAATTTGGTAGGAACATAAACATCAGATACTTACATAAATGCATAAATTTTATTATTGTAAGAAGTACTTGTGCTTTTCCATTAGTTTTACAAATAATTAAATTAATCAATTTGCAACTGTGGCTAAAAAGGTTTTTGTCTTTAAAGTAAAAGATAACTGCAGCCAATATATATTACATGTGGGTGTATGCATGTATAATTGATGAGTGATGTTTAAATAATGTTGCTTTTTATATACAGCAGAGAGCAAAAGCAAATGAGGCAAAAGAGATGGAAAGATTGATAAGAGAAGGATATGGAGGATTTGCTTGTTTCCACTCAAGTTGGCCCCTTTGACTTCACTTTTGGATGTTACCCCTTATTGCCATACAACAGATGAAGATGCTTCCATTCTCTAATATTTTTCAATCCCAAAATCAGAATTGTTTAATTACTACATCCACTCTTCAAGTTGCTATATATATATAGATATGTATATATGTATATATATATATATATATATCAAAATCAATGTTGTCTAGCACAAGTGGAATGATATTGTCATACTTGTACACTTTTCTTACACATCCATGTGAGGAAATTTAATGGACATCAATACATGGGATATAATCATATATATTCTTCTCGTTACGTAATTATAATTTTACTTTTTATATGTATTTGTATTTTCTTTGTACCGAAATTCAATTGATAATGTAAAGATTGTTATTGTTAGTAATAATATCGTGTGTGTATATATATATATATATATCCTTTCAAAAGACAATGAAACATAAAACATCGTGAATGGACTTTGAATTTGATGTTTTGCGTTTATGTTCATGATTGACAGACATGACCAATTAATACAAGACAACTAATATTGAAATGGAATTTTGACTTGTTGGGGATGGGAAAACGCTATATTAATTGGAAATTAACGTTGTAATGTATGGTTAAGGCCTGATTAGACTAGTTTAAAAGTATGCTAATTAAGTGGAATCTTGTTATATTTGGAGAAAAAAAATAAGCTTCCTCAAGCGGCAACTGCTTTCTCATCATGAGTTAACTCGCTAACAATAATTATGTCTTATTGATGAAAGCACAAACAGATGTGAAAATTTAGTTTGGACTTTATTGTGACGTACGTACTTGTATTAATATTCTTAATTAGTTAACCATGATATAAATTAACACAAGACAGTGAATATTGCATTGAATCGTTTGACAAATCTTGAGGTTGAAAACTTTGCATTGCGATTAGTTCCAAAATATGACAAGCTAGAGTATTAGTTTAAAAAATGGATTATATACACTAATATACATATACATATATATATATATATGTCTCTGTATGTGTGTGCAACTTTCATACGATGGTTTAGCTTGTAAACTATATTAACGTTTTAGAAGAAACCGAATTTAAAAATAAATAAACAAAAACTTAACGGGTGCGTTTAGAACTCGTTCCAAAATGATTTTATTTTTTTGTATGAAAATGAAAATGAAAACGTTTTCAATCTTAAACATAATCATTTTTAAAAATGCATTTGGTAGTTTTATCAAGAGATTATTTTCAGTGTAAAAAATCTCATTAATGTCTCTCTTTCTCTCTCTGCTCGAGAGAGGAGAAAACGAAAATAAAAAATGAAAAATGACTTTTCATTTCTCTCTCATTTTACACTAAACCAAAAAATCGTTTTTATTTCTGTTTTTTATCTTTATTGCGCCAAATGCCGTTTTGAAAACGTTTTCATTTTTTCTTCCTTGAAAAACATGAAAAATAAAAACGGAATCAATTCCAAACACGGCCAACAAGAGTTTGGGGTTGGTAGGTTTTTAAAGAACTAAAGTAGTGTGGCCTTCAATAACTTGAACTTTGAAGGACAGAACAAATTAAACGTCCCAAAAAAGAAAAAAAATATATTTATCCTCACTGTTAATTGATAACGGCAGTTTCAGAAATGGAGGAGACAAGCATTATCTACTTTTAACTTCTTTTGAGCTGATGAACGATCTATTGCTCAATAATTGCATTATAACTAGCTGTACGCCAGCAAATTCTCAATTCCTATACATAGCACTACTTGTATTTTGGTCTCAATAAAACAATATTGCATACCGTAACGACAACTTTTTTCTTTTTCTACCTTCTTTTAAAAAAAAAAAAAATTCTACAGTTTAATTGGTACATTGTTTTGTCTCTTTTACAAACTCTACGTTGGACACAATTTATTTTACCTTACTATACATTGAAGTAAATCTTTTTGGATATTTGATTACATTTTGCTTATCTTATTTATGAGTACGGCATTTTATGTTGTAAGATGTACTATTTTTAATTAACATGTACATATGGTCATTGATCAATCTGTTAAAATTTAATTAAATGGTTAATAGGAACTTATTTTACCGGTAAAGCAAAATGTGCTCTATCATAGAATTTATTTTTATTTTTTAAATTTTAAAAATAATTTAAAGGGTATTCCTTCTTTTAATATATAGATATATATACACACATCTATATATATATATATATATTGTACTTTGTAGTATTATCTGCACATTGTACAACTGACTAATCTCCAATACGCGTAATTCATGACTAAGATTTTGTAGGGAGCTTTCAAATCCCAGTCCAATATTTTTGTCATCAAGCAAATTGATTAGTAACTTCCAATTTGCCTGGGGCCAAATACATATGATGAACACGGCTAGCTAATTATTTATCACCAACCAACTTGTGTCTATAAAATATCCTCTATGTCGGTAAAATTTAGAAATAGATTTTTGGCACCAAATACTACAAATTTCTCTTTAATTGTTTGAAAAATTACGTTTTTTTTTTTCACGTGATAACGACTCATGAACCAAAATCTAGCAATTGAGATAAGAAGCATATATTATAGTGATATTCTCCTCCAAATAGCAAACAAAATTAAAGCATTTCGTGTGCAAAGTCACTTCTCGAATCCCACTCGGACAAAAGGACTTATAAGGATCCCTCACATATAGATAAAATGCATGAAATCTCTTGGATGTTGCCAATTCATGAAGTGAATGATTGGAGGGCAAGAAGAATTCCAAGTGTTTTATTTATAATTGTTTCTTTTTTCTTTTTCTTCTTTCCCTTTTTTTAAGATAAAATTTTCAAGAAATTGTTTTTCTTTTCTTTGTTGGGTTGGGTTGGGTTCACAATCTGTTAGTGAAAATGAGTGAGTGAGTTCAGATGCATTGCATCCATGAAGCTGGGAGGGGGCAGGGGAGGACAGCTTTGAATGGACCAAACCCAATGACCCCAAAAGATGATGGGGTCCTCTCTCTCTCTCTCTCTCTCCTCTCTCTCTCTCTCTCTCTCTAAGAGCTAATCGAACCTTTCTCAAGCTTAGAATTTGGGTTTTTTTTATATTTATATTTTTTTTTTAGGGCAAAATTTGGGGTTTCTTTCCTTCCTCTCCCCCACTCAATCTTTCTTCTTTGACCTCTTTGACCCCCTTTTGACCAATTTATTCATAATTTTGGCTTGTCTCTTGAATCATGCATGAACAAAGAGAAGGGGCAAAAATTAAAGAGGAATCATCAAATGGGGTCCCAAAAATAAAGGGTTTGTAATGGTTCCCAAGCATCAAATATTTCCAAATTGGATTGGAGGGGGGTCACAACAGTTGGTGGAGTTTTTGGGGAGAAGAATTCATAACTATTTATGGGGCAAGTTCAAGGATTCTAGTAAAGGATGCTTCTTTTCTTTATCATCATCATCATCGTCAAACCCTTTTGAAGTGGAAGATGGAGTTGTTTGGTTGTCAGGAATCTTTGGTTTATAAAACCAGTGCCACTAAACGGCATAAAACACCAAAAAGGGAAAATCTCATATGCATGTATTTCATAATTAGGCTTGAAATTGTGGAGACAAAACAAAGCTCAGTTTAGAAGCTGGGTCAATACACTAAGCTTAGCCAGACAGCTTTTTGCCAAATAAAACGAAAAAAAGAAAAAAAAAATTATTTTTACAGGTTATGAAAGAAATATCTTACTGCCAGGAGACGGTGTTTAATTACCTATCATATATTCATGAAATTTCGTTGAATTACCGTTAGTACATTTTTTTTTAATTTATATATATATTTTTTCAAACAGATCTTAATAAAACAAAATTAGCAAAAAAGAATCCTATGACTAGAAGAAAATAAAAGGGGTAAAGTTGGATGTTAGATTTTAAATTTCTTGTTTTACTAATGAATTGTTATAGCGGTAAGGATAACTTTTTCCTTCTTCTATCAAAATACGTCCAATTTAGTAGAAAAGGTTGCAAGCTTTTCTACTAAATTGACGTAGAGGCCCAGGTTTGATCTGGTAAAAGAAACAGTTCCAAAACATACCACTAATGAATTGTTATAGTGGTAAGGGTATTTTTTCTTTCTTCTCTCTTAAGAATTCGATACTCCACAATCCACAACCTCATTTTAAGACTCTTGTTCAGCCAATATATTGTGCGATATTAAGTGTATAGCGACATGAGTGAAAATTGAGTCTATTTCTGGAGTAGAATTAAGTCAAGTGATTTGCGTTTTATTAGTGGACTCTGAGATTTCTAAAGTGATAAAGGGAGAGGGAGCGTAATAACACCATTTATTTTCTTTTTTATTGCGAAAAAAGTCAAATAGAGTGGTAAAGCTCATCATCCTCCTACATAAATTCTTATGTCTTCTTTTCACAACTCAATTTTTTTTTAATTTTTGTGAAAGAAAAAATTGTAGCAAAAAAAAAAAATTGAGTTAAGAAAAGAACAAACCCTTAAATTTTAATTCCAACGCATCATAGTGGACCAACAGTTTGGATAGTTCGATCTCAGACTTATCGAGTACATCATCCTCTACTCTTATAACTTTTTTTATTATTTTGTTTTTAAGAAAATATAATAATATATACAGAAACATAAAGTATTTGTTAAAAGAAAATCATTTACTAATAGTTGTTATTTCTTTTAGTTGTTTAATTTAATTTTTTGTCATAACATATATCAACTATGAAGATTCATCTTGATGGTTATTTCCTACTGGCGCTACTAATAGTACCTTTTGCTATAGCAATGCTATTGAAAATTTTTGTAATAGTTGTATTGTTAGTCAGTAATTGTAGTGACCAAAACTACGTAAGTATTTATTTTTTTTTCTTTTAAAACTATAGTGAATACCACAAAGCATATATAAATTTAGGTATTTGATAAACTGTTTATAAAATTACTATAAAAATTATAGTAATTAGAATAGACATACTTTAACACATATATTTATAGTTCAATTAGTTTTATTTATATTTTTAAGATCAATTCAATATTGTTACACTAAAATACTAAAAAAAATTCTTTATAATTTAAATATTTTTAAATAATAAATTATTTTTAGTCAAGGAGATAAGTTATACATCTATAAAGAAATTAAATGGTATAAGTACCTAA